TTCCACAGCCCAGCACCCAAACCCCCCCTCAGGGGCAGATGAGCAGTGTCTGGGGCTGGATGTGCAGGGTGACCTGTCCTGGAGCTGTGGGCAGTGCCAGACTGCTGCTCTGACTCTTAATAATAGAGAGAGAAAGCAAGAGAGAATGTGCCTGTTGTAACCTTTAATCTTCTCATACCTTGCTGAGCAATCCTTGGCCTGGCTGATGCAGATCACAAGTTTAAAGCTGATGAAATCCTTTCCCTGTAGCAAAAAAAAAAAAAAAAGACAAACCAACCCCAAAACACTCTATTGAAAGGCATCCAAAGGAGCAGCCCTGAGCTCTGCCTCCGGAGCAGTGCCTGGAACTGTGTGTGGTCCTGAATATCAATGATGTGTGTGAGCTGGGGCCTCAGGAGTTGGTGACGAGGGGATGTCCTTGTGCTGCTCTAATTGGGGTGTGACTAACAGCTTTATGGCCGCTCTTGACAATCCTCCAGCTGTTCAGCTTAGCTCTTGCCCGTGAGGTGAGGTGCCAGACAGGCTCCCTGCCTGCCCACAGCATCCCTGGGAGGAGATGGGCACGCAGGAGGACACAGCTCTGCTGGGACTGGGTGCCAGGGCCAAGGGTTGATGCCACAGCCCAGCCCTTGAAGCGCACAAAGTGACAGGGAAATGGTCATGTTTGTCACAAGAAGGTGGTTTTGGGTGTTGTCTGAAGGAGCTGACCTCATGTTTTCACCTGGAGAAAACATGCTTTTCCTGGTAGAGGCGGAGGAACAGGCTYGGCTTCCAGCTCTGGGTGCTGCTGGCTTGGATCCTCGGGGTGGACAGGAAACCTTTTGGGAGGTGGAGACCAACTCTTGTTTGGGTTTGTCACCCACCAGTGGAAGCTGGAGAGGAGCCCAGGCTGGAGCTGCTTGGCTCTTCTGGGCGCCTTCCCGTCAGCTTCAGGGGTCACAGCYCCTCCAGAGGTGGGTCCAGAGCATCCCACTGCCCGCAGGGATGGGACAAACACGGCCCAAAGAGGAACCTCTGCTCTAGACATGACTGACATAAAAGCCCCATAATGGTGCTCACCACACCCTGCGTGGGTGGGGGTGTCTAAAAATAGGGGATGAGCTGGTTTAGATGGTTTGGCCGTTGCACCCGGGACAAGGTGTGACTGCCCAGCACTTTCCAAAGGTCAGGATGGGTTCAGGATGGGGGGGAGCTGTCAATTTTATTTGGCTGCCGTAAATCTGAGAGGCGAGGGGTGCGGTCTTGCTGCTGGCACGGGGTGCAGTGGTGGGAAGGGGTTTGATGGCAGCTGCCCCCCCTTCACAGGAGAGATAAAATCAAGTCCTTCTGAGAGCCCGTTGATGGAGAAGAAYGTTGGCCCCAAGGAGGAGCAGGAGGAGGCCAAGGTGCCGCTGGGCGATGCCAAGGGCCCCGCTGCCGATGCAGGGTCGGCCGCTCCCCCTCGGGCGGCCGCGGAGGAGAGGGCGGTCTCCTTCAACCTGGGGGAGCTGGAGGAGGCCCCGGAGCAGGAGAGGCTGCCCAGCCTCGACCTGAAGGAAACGAGCATCGACAGCGGTGAGTAGGGGGGCAGTGGGGTGGGCAGAGCTCCCCAACCCCCGTCACCCCTCGGTGCTGACCCCTCCACCCCACTGCTGTCCCCGTTCCCCGCAGGAGCCGTGCGGTTGCCCAAYGGCAACCTGGTGCACCTGAGCCAGGCCGTGGGCCACCAGCTGGGCTCGAGCGGCCAGTACCAGTACCACACGGTGCACAAGGACTCCGGCCTCTACAAGGAGCTGCTGCACAAGCTGCACCTGGCCAAGATGGGGGACTGCATGGGGGACTCGGACAAACCCCTGCGGCGCAACAACAGCTACACCTCGTACACCATGGCCATCTGCGGCATGCCCCTGGACTCGCTGCGCGCCAGGGACGCCGATGAGGGGGACAAGCTCAGCTGGCCCGTGGTGGACACTAAGAAAAGGGTCCGCATGGACAGCTACACCAGCTACTGCAACGCGGTGGCCGATGCCCACCCGGCTGCGGACGTGGACCTGAACACTGCCCAGGTGGAGCTGGGCGTCGCTGACCGCAAGGGCAGCAGTGGCTCCCTGGAAGAGTGGCACGAGCAGGACAAGCCTGAGGTGTCGCTGCTCTTCCAGTTCCTGCAGATCCTCACGGCCTGCTTTGGCTCCTTCGCTCACGGCGGCAATGATGTCAGGTCAGTGGAGTCAGTGGGAGCTCGGGGGTGCTGCTGGCTGGGGCTGGTGCTCACAGAACCGTGGAATCACAGAATTGATTGGGTTGGAAGGGACCTTAAAGATCACCTKATTCCAACCCCTGCYGTRGACATGTTCCTCTTGACCAGGTTGCTCCGTGCCCCATCCAACCTGGCCTYGAACRTTTCCAGGGTTATTCAGTCTTGCCAGGAGCCTGTGGCCCTCTAGACCAGATCCCCTTTCTCTTCCAGCAATGCCATTGGCCCCCTGGTCGCACTCTTCCTGGTCTACCAGACGGGTGATGTGGCTACCAAGATGGCAACTCCCATCTGGCTGCTGCTGTACGGGGGTGCAGGCATTTGCATCGGCCTGTGGGTCTGGGGAAGGAGAGTCATCCAGACAATGGGCAAGGACCTGACCCCCATCACACCATCCAGGTAAGGGCTCCTGGGGCACAGGGGAGGCTCCAGGGAGCCTGAGAACTGCCTTCTCCTTCAGGAGCTCCTTCTCCTTCAGGAGCTCCTCTCCCTTCCCTCTTGGGGCTTTCAGTGGTGGAGCTGGGGTGTGGGGGGCTCCAATATCTCCCTGCATCCTGGGGATTCATCTGGGGGTCTGCAGAGCCAAGCTGTCCTGCTCTGAGCTGAACCACTGGGTGTTTGGGGTATCCAGAGCCCCCATTCTGATGTGCCTTGTGTCCCTGCAGTGGCTTCAGCATTGAGCTGGCGTCAGCGCTGACGGTGGTCATTGCCTCCAATGTTGGCCTCCCCATCAGCACAACCCACTGCAAGGTAGGAGGGGTGCCAGGGGCTGGCTTTGGCTCTCTGTGAGCTCAGAGCTCCTGAATTTCTGTGCTCAGAGGGCTGAGTTGTGTGGGGCCCCGCTCCGGGCCGCTGGCCACTGTCAGCTCCCAGCTCTGCCGCTTGCATCTCAATGTGAGGTGGCAGCAGCTGCCCGGGCTCGGGGTGGGTCCCTGGGGCACTCAGGGGGTGAGAGGAGAACAAAACCCCTTTCATGGTCCCCTGGGCTTTGCCAAGAGGGCATGGGAAGCCGAGTGCTGCAGGGTCCTGCTCCTGTCACCGCTCTGCGGTGGCAGCTCCCTGCCTGCGCTCTGTGAGGTCCCCACGGGCTGGAGCAGACCCAGGGCTCGGGGCTGGGGGTGAAGGAGAGCACATGGCTGGGTGTCAATGCCTGCTGTGGCACTGAGCTGTGCCCTGACCCCTCGGCCAGGTGGGCTCGGTGGTCTCGGTGGGCTGGCTGCGCTCCAGGAAGGCAGTGGACTGGCGCCTCTTCCGGAACATCTTCATGGCGTGGTTCGTCACCGTCCCCATCTCCGGCCTCATTAGCGCTGCTATCATGGCTGTCTTCAAGTTCGCTGTCCTGAAGGTGTGAGGGCACCAGGGCTTCCACTGCTCCTGCTTCCCACTGCTGCCCTTCCTGGAGGATCCGCCGAGGCTGCCTGCTGCAGAGCGGGGGCTGCGCCCATCTGCGCGTAGTGCTGTCACTGAAGTATCTTTTTTTTTTTTAATATAACTGTCTTGGCGCTAACAAATGCGGGGGGTGCACTGCCACGGCTGTATCTGCCCCCTGTGACCCCCCCGACCTGCTGTAGCTGTAGATAAGCAGTTACTGGGGGCCACTTTCTTCTACTGATCCCCCGGCAGTGATTGCTCGGGGGAAGGACAGAGGTTGGTCCTTGCTCGCCCCGGAACGAAGGGCTGGGGAGTTGTGGGGTGTCCCTCTTGCAGGCTGTGCAGTGTTCAGCTTTGCCTCCATTGCCGTAGTGGTGTGGGCACCATCCTGCTCGGGGGCCCTGGGGCCTGTCCTCGGGCCCYCTGTCACTGCTGCTACCTCGGACTCAATAAAGATTTCCTTCGTACGCCAGTGCTGCCTGTGGTTCTGGGGCTTTGGGATCCCGTGGGGGCCTCAGGTGCTGCCCCATCGCCCTCCCTGCCCTGGCCCCGTGCCCCGGGAAGGAGCTGGGGATGAAGATAAGAGCCMCACGTGCCCCGTGGCTCACGGGATGGGCTGTGCTCGGGGGTTATCGGGGCCCCACACCTGGGGGTGGCTCCTGCCCCTGTCCCCGGCCCCACCCCCGCTSTGTGTCCGTGTGTTTGTGTGTCCGGTGGTGTGTCTGTCCCCTCCATGTGCCCAGGGATGCTCCCTCCCGCTTGGGTCAAGGCCGCTCCTGGGGCCGCACGTCAACGGCTCCGCGCTGTCGCAAGAACCACGGAGGGGACAGCGGGGAGGGCGAGGGACACATGGGGGGACAGCGTGGGGTGGAAGAGATGCCCACGTTGGGGGCAGTGCAGTTCGGGAGGTGCTTTATGTGCCACCCGGGGACGGGAACCACGCAGCCCCGCGGGGTTAGGATCGCTGTGTCCCGCGGTTCGGGGGTGCCCCGATCTCCCCACGCTGTGCCCGCGGCGCCCATCGGGGCGGCTTTGGGGCGGCGGCGAGGCCGGTCCCTGACCCCGGTTAATGATTCGCCGCCGGGCGGTGCCAGCTGGGCAAACAGCGGCCCGGGGCTCCGGGGACGGGAACGGGGGGTGGGGGCGGCGCGGTGACACCGCCGGGGAGCGGGGACCCCCGTTCGTGGGGCACGGGGAGCGTTCCCCGTGTGCGTGGGGAGGGGTCGGTACACCGTGGGGGGAGCACGGGGGAATCGCTGCCCCATTTGGGGGTCACTGCCCCATTTGGGGGTCACTGCCTGGGGTGTCCCGGGTCCGTCCCGGCTGCGCTGCCCGGGGGGGGCCGGGCCCGGCCGGGGCGGGGCGGTTCCGCAGGGCTCCGTTAAAGCGGCGGCGGCCGGAGGAGGTGGCCGGAGGCGGTGGCGATGGGCAGCGAGGGGCAGCGGGGCCCGGCGGCGACCCGGGGCCCGGGGCAGGGCGACCCGAGGGCCCTGCGGAGGGACTGCCAGCACCGGTGCGCTGAGACTGCCGCGGGACGGGCGAGCGGGGCTCGGGGATGCGGGGCGAGGGCTTGGGGAAGGACGGATGGGGAGGGGGGCAGGACCCCAAGAAACGGCGCCTTCAGGGGTTCGGGAGAACACCCTTGGTGTGTCGGGAGGGGGCAGAGGCCCTGGGCCGGGGTGGGGGCAGGTGGGGCTCACTCACTGTCCCCCCTCCCTGCCCTGCAGACCCTCTGCCCCCACACCCCCCCAGCTCTATTTCCAGCTCTACAGCCCCAGTTTTCTGTTCCAGTAATTTGCTGTGAGGACCCTGGGCTGGGATGGGCACACGACCCTCCCGGAGCACTGACTGGGGACTGGGATAGGGAAACAGAACCACGCGTCTTCCTCTGTGCCACCCCCAGCCCTAAAGCTCCCCTCACCCCATAACTCCCCCGTGGTCATCCCCAGGATCTTCGTCAACCGGAGCCTGGCGCTGGAGAAGATTAAGTGCTTTGGCTTTGACATGGACTACACCTTGGCCAGTGCGTTTTGGGGGGCCCAAGGCAGGGTGGGGTGGTGGTGGGATCCCCTCAGCCCCTGCCCACACCCCCTGCCCCTCTGCAGTGTACAAGTCCCCTGATTACGAGGAGCTGGCCTTCACCCTGTTGCTGGAGCACCTCGTTGCCATTGGGTACCCTCCTGAGATCCTCGCCTACAAGTACGAYCCCACCTTCCCCACGAGGTGAGTTTGAGGAGGGGGTCCCAGAGGCCGGGAGGGGAGGGGAAGCGAGCCCCCTGCCCGCTGACAGCTGTGTGGCACAGGGGGCTGGTGTTCGATGCTCTCTACGGGAACCTGCTGAAGGTGGATTCCCACGGGAACCTGCTGATCTGTGCCCATGGCTTCCGCTTCCTCAAGGGGTGAGTCTGAGAACCCCCCACCCGAGGGGCAGGGGGTGTTGGGGGTCCCTAAGGATGGACTCCAGCTCYGTGCTCCCTCCCCAGTGCCGAAATCCTCCACTATTACCCCAACAAGTTCATCCARCGGGATGACATGAAGCGCTTCCACATCCTCAACACCCTCTTCAACCTCACAGGTGAGTGAGAATCCCACCATCCCAGCCCTCCCACCAACATGGGGTGCTGTCCTGCCCCGCACCCCCTCTGACAGCCCCCTCCCTCCCCCACAGAGGCCCACCTGTATGCCTGCCTYGTGGACTTCTTCACCAACTGCTCCAGATACGTCAAGTGAGAGCRAGGTGGTGGGTGGGGGCTTGGTATTGGGTGGGACAGGGGAGAAATCTTGGGGAGAGCTTTCCTTGGCAGGGCARCCCCCTGACCCCCTTCATTCCTGACTCTTGCAGCTGCGACACCGGCTACAAGCACGGGAACCTCTTCATGTCCTTCCTCAGCATGTTCCAGGATGTGCGCGAGGCCATGGACCACGTCCACCTCTCTGTGGGTGCAGCGGGCAGGGGGCTGCTGGTGGTGGGTGCTGAGGGTGCTGGGGTTGCCCCACACGCCCACCCTGGGAGGTTTTGGCCAGCCCTACCCCATCCCTTCTGCAGGGCTGCCTCAAGGAGAAGACACTGGAGAACCTGGAGAAATACGTGGTGAAGGATGTGAGTTGTGCAGACCCCCAGGGACCCCTCCCTGCCCCGCTCCCCTCTGTCAGTTCCTCAGGCTCTCACTGACTTGCCCCTCACCAGCCCCGTGTGCCGCTGCTGCTGAGCCGCATGAAGGAGGTGGGGAAGGTCTTCCTGGCCACCAACAGTGACTACACCTACACTGATGTGAGTAGGGGGTGTCTGTGCCCCCACCACCGGGTCCAGCCTGGCCTGCCCTGGATGGGGGAGGCAGAGGGGATGTGTTGAAGCAGAGGCAGGGTCTGCTGCCCGCAGATAATGCCGGATGTCCTTGCAGGCCATCATGTCCTACCTGTTTGACTTCAGCAATGAGGACAAGGTGAGTGTGTCCCTGCTGTGGGCTGGGTGAGGGCTGCAGGGTGCCACCAGTGTGCTCCTGTGACCCCTCCCTGGCGGTCATCCACAGGCCGATGTCCCGCAGCGCCCCTGGAGGTCCTATTTCGACCTGATTGTGGTGGACACCCGCAAGCCCCTCTTCTTTGCYGAGGGCACCGTCCTGCGCCAAGTGGACACGGTGGGGACCCCTCSCTGCTGCGGGGCCGGGCRGGGYGGYGGGCACTATTTAGGTGCTGAGGGGGCTCCTGTGGGCACAGAAGGGTGGATTCACAGCTGGCTGGGCACCAAGCAGGCACAGGTAACAGTGTCCCCATCCTGCAGGACACAGGGAAGCTGCGCATGGGGACGTACACCGGCCCCCTCCAGCACTGTGCCGTCTACTCCGGTGGTAAGTGCCCGGCTGGGCTCTGTCCGGGCTCTGTGGGCAGCACAGGGGGACATGCCCACCCCTCATCTTGATCCTTGGCTTTCACAGGCTCCTCTGATGTGGTGTGTGACCTCCTGGGCGTGAAGGGCAAAGACATTCTGTACATGGGGGACCACATCTTCGGGGACATCCTCAAATCCAAGAAGCGGCAGGGCTGGCGCACCTTTCTGGTGGTGCCTGAGCTGGCCCGTGAGCTGCAGGTCTGGACGGAGAAGAGCGGTGAGCAGTGCCCGGTTGGGGACACAGACTTTGTGTGCAAGGGGAGGTGGCCTGGAGCCTCCTGCACCCCTCGATGGCCGTGCCCTGACCCTCTGTGTCAGTCGTGCTGAGCAGTGGGTGACGCTCCCACGCTGAGCTGGCCCCGTTGCCTTGCAGAGCTGTTTGAGGAGCTGCGGAGCCTGGATCTCTTCTTGGCCGAGCTGTACCAGTGAGTKGGTTGGGGTGGGACACAGGCAGGGCTGGCAGCACCCATGGGGACCCCTCCTGGTGAGTTCTGAGCCGGCTCTGTTCYGCTCCAGGCACTTGGACAGTGGCAGCAGTGAGCGCCCAGACATCAGCTCCATCAAGCGTCGCATCCAGGTGACGCCCAGGGCGCTGTCACCCCACCACGGCTTCCTCCGTGTGGGTGGCGAGTGCCCTGACTGTCCTGCCCGCCCACAGAAAGTCACACACGAGATGGACATGTGCTACGGGAAGATGGGCAGCCTGTTCCGCTGCGGCTCTCGTCAGACGCTCTTTGCCAACCAGCTGATGCGCTATGCAGATCTCTATGCTGCCTCCTTCATCAACTTCCTCTATTACCCCTTCAGCTACCTCTTCCGGGCACCGCCTGTCCTGGTACGCAGCCCCCAGCCCCTGCTGCTCACCCACTGTGCCTCAGTTTCCCTCCCTAGCTGAGGGGGCATGGGGCTGACAGAGGTGTTGGGTGGGCTGCCTGGTGCCAGCCTCTCTCAGGGAGCTTTGTCCACCCCTGCAGATGGCCCACGAGTCAACGGTGGAGCACTCTCGCCTGGACTCGGGGGATGCGGTCACCGCCCTTCCTCCCTGGCTGGCCCAGCATGGCAACCCTGGCCAGCAGGTGGGTGCCAGGGAACAGAGGGGCAGAAGGACATGGGCATGCTGCCACCCTGATGTCCTCGGGGTCCTGTGCCCACTGAGCCCCTTCTGCACTGTCTCAGGTCCCCCAGGACTCGAGTGGGGAGGAGGAGGATGATGGAGAAGCCTGACCACACCCCAGCTGCTGCCATGGCAGGTGCCTGCCCCACGGGAGGGCATTCGGTGGCCCTGGACCACTTGCACTGCCAGATGGAAGCCACTCGTGGTCAGCTGCCACCTCTGGTGGCCACAGGATGGCTGGTGGCCCTGACCCACGACCTCTATCACACCTGTCCTTGGGCAGCTGGGACCTTCTCCTGCCTCTGCCTAGAGCCAGGAGAGGGCCCCTCTCTCCAGGCGTGCCAGCTGGTGCCCCTTTAACTCATATCTCTGCCACCAGCTCAATTGCCAGCCTGAGGCACCCACAGCCAGGGCAAACGGGCTGCCCAGCATCACTGGGAGCCCCACTGCAGCAGTCAGGGTCCTGGCTGCTCCTGCCCCTTCAGCCTCTGGGCCTGGCCATGAGCACTGGCAGGCAGGGCTGGATGGGGAGGGTGGGGCTCTGGAGAGGGTGGGGCTGATCAGAGGGTGGGGCTGTGGAGAAGGTGGGGCTGTGGAGGTGACAGCTGCTCCCCGGGAACCCCCTTCATCTGCTGTTCCCCTCTTCTTTTTTCTACCCCTTTGTATTTATAAAAGATACTCAAAACTCTTGGCACTGTGGAGACATAAAATTGGCTTTTTTAAAGGAAAATTGCTTTGTCCTTGCAGCTGGGGAGCGGGGGCAAAGGACAGTCCCCAAATCCTTGTCCAGCACCTGGGACAAGCACAAGGGCCTGGGCAGAAGGTGATCTGCACCTCTGCAGAGGGAGCCAGGGTAGCAATGCTCCAGAGTGGAGCCAGCCCCATGCCAGAACTTTGCCACACTGCTCTGAAAATTCTTCCAGTGTTTGTGACTCAATAGAAGTGCTGAGCCATGGCTGGGGATGCATGAGGGGGAGAGGAGGCAAAAGAACGTGATGGGGACAGGACCACTGCTTGCTGGGCCTTGGGTGGGTGACTGTGGGGCTCCCACACCTTCTGTAGCTGCTGTGCGGGCACTGTTCCCAGCAGAGACCACCTGCCAGTCCCCTCACCAGCCTCTTGCCTGGTACCTTGTGCCACTGCCTGCTCCAAGCGCAGGGCCAGCAGCAGAGGGGGCCCGAGTGCACTGATAGGACTCGTTTGTCCCCAGAGTCCAACTGTGTCCCCGAGTTGGGGGTCTAGCCTGCTGCACTCCAAGGTCCTCTGCACCCCTCGGTGCTGCTGTGAATCTTGGGGCCTGCACAGAAGCTGCTGGGGTGCTGCAGGTCCCCCAGCCCCTCAGGCAGAGCCTCCAGATAGGGAGTGTGCATCTGCCTCACAGAAGGGGACATCCAGACACTGCCCAGGTAGGGCACAAGGCAGCTCCAGAGCAGATCCCTCAGGACATTGGTTCCAAACACTGGGAGGTGCCTGGAGCACTGAAATCCAACTGACAGGAAAACTGGAGCATGTGTCATGGTTGAGGAGCTKAGGGCAGTCCTGGGGGACACAAGCCCAGGAAACACAGCTGGTGTCTCCACASCACTCACAAGCCCACACACCTCTCAACTGCAAATTTTAATATATTTTAAAAACAGCATTTAGATATTTGAAACTGGCTTATTGTGTGCCATCTCCTCCCCCCTCCATCTGGGGGGCAGCAAGAGGAGTCAGTGGAGCCTCTATGAGGCAGCACGGTGGGCAGGGAGCCTGCCCCTGCTGGGAACCGCTCAGGAGCCCTTGAGGGGGTGGGTATGAACTCAAACCTTCCAGCTCTGTCACTTCTGGCAAAGCCTTGTTTTTCCKGAAGAAGAAGCAAGTCTCCTCCTCAGCATCCAGGATTTCACTGAGGGATGACACCACRGGGTCATGGTCCTTCAGCATCTGTGGGTAGTAACTCCCAGCCCGCTCAATCCGTAGCGAGCGCCGCACGGGTGTCAGAAATTTCAATTCYGGGCCTTCCAGGAGCTCCCTTCCTCTGTGGAGAGGACAAGAGCCTTAGGTAAACCCTGTGAAGAACTGGCATGGAGGGTGTGTGCTACCAGGAGCAGGAGGTTGAACCTTACCTGGATGCAGATGTAACCTGTAACTTGACTGAGATGGGGAGGGAGGTCAGGGGCCTCCCCACCAGGGCTGGAGTTGATTCTGCGGGCTGTCTCTCACCTGGACAAGGCGTCATAAGCTCCCAAGGAATGGGGTCCTTGGTCTGTTCTCCTGGAAGGAGAGGAGAGGGGAAAAGGCCAACACAGTTGCAGAGAGGGGCATTGGGGAGGGACACTCTGGACACAGACCAGGGTGCCTGGCTGCAGAGGCTGTGCCAGGAGCCTCCCCAGCCCTGGCAGAGTGACATTGTCCCATTTGTGAGATCAGGATTCCAGACTTTCACAACACTTTGTCTACATGGAGGTCAAGAGGGACACGAGGTGCTGGGACAGACTGTAAACCCTGCTGCTTCCTGGCCTACAACACCAGGGAGCCCCCACACCCCACCCATGCTGCAGCCAGCCCACCCCCCAGTGCTCAGGTTACCTTCCAGTGTCTGGCCTGCATCCTTCAACATMTTGAGAGCAGTTTCCCTGAGCTCCTCAACTGGCTGCAGGAAAAGTAGAACACAGATCAGGGCAGGTGTGCCATGGGAATGGAGATCAGAATTACAGCAGAAGAGAAGGAAAGGGTTCTGCTGCATCACAACTGTGCTGAGGACAGCAGGAAGAGGCTGCAGGATTCCCTTYTACCCAGTGGGATCCATCAGGTGCCCACCCTGCATGGGCACATCCTGCAGCATGGAATGGGACTGGCAGCTCTAAAGGACTTTAGCAGCACTAGCCACTGGTGAAAAAGTCATTCCAAAACTTGGAATCCCCTGGATCTCAAGGAAGCCCTGGAGTGCAGGGGCAGGGAACACAGGGAGCTGGCGTGCCCCACTCACCTCAGCCCCAGCGCTGACTGCTTCTCTGTACAGCTGCAACACATCAAAGGGGCCATTCCGGGCCAGCAGCTTTGCCTGACAGATCCAGAATTTGGCAAATTTCTCTGGCTGGGGCACAAGGGACAGCACTGCTGAGAGCTCCTCTGCCTGGACACCCTGCAAGGAGAAGGGTAAGGGCCTGGAGAAAGGTGTCCATGGCTTGGACCAGTGTGTGCAGCAGGAAGTGGCCTGTGCCTGACCACAGCTCCCAATGCTCTCCAGGAGGGTCTCAGCAGCCTGGGTGTGCCAGTCTACATAACCATGGGCAGATAAAAACTGTCCTGCCTCTGTCTTCCCCTTGGGTAAGTGAGTYTGGTATTCCAGGGGGTGTCAAGGGATAGACTCCAGTGCTGGCATTAATTGGGGCCAGTAAACCCTGGAGCAGGGCTAGCAGTCAGTGTTCCCAGCAGGGCCATAACTCAAGCTGTGASAGCCACCACGGATCTACCTCGAGGTGCCTCAATCAGCCTGGCTTGCTGCTGCAGACTGCACTGCCAGGTTCCAGGACACCATCAGTGACACACACCAGGCCTGGGCTGGCTTTGGCTGGGGTAGAATTAATTTCCTTCCCAGTGGTATGGGGCTGTGCTTGGGATTTGTGCTAAACGCAGTGATGGTAAGAAGTATTTTCATTATTGCTGAGCAGGATTTACACAGGGCCAAGACCTTTTCTAATTTTTATACTGCCACAGTGACAAGGAGGCTGGGGATGTGTGGGAATTTGAGAGGAGACACAACCAGGAGAAGTAATTACAGCAGACTAAAGAGATATTCCAGACCACATACTCAGTCTATAAATTGGGGGGATGTTTGGACTGATGCTGTTTGTCTTCCCCAGTCACCACTGCCTGTGACAGTGCCCTGCTCTCCTGGAGGTGGCAGAACACCTGCCTGGCCATGGCAAGCAGGGAGTTGATGTTCTRCTTTGCTTGTGTGTGCAGCTTTTCCTTTCCCAATTAACTGTCTTTATCTCAACTCATAAGTTCTTTAGCTTTACCCTTATGATTCTCTCCCCAAATCTGCTGGTGAAGAACCAAGTGAGCAGCTGCACAGGGCTTGGCTGCTGTCTAGGGTTAAACCACAACAGTCCTTTTTGACCATTTTCATCACATGCCTTTAGCCTACCCATGACTTCATGATGACTTTTATTTTCCTATGTTTTCCCTCTGGCAACTGCACACTTGCTCCCAACCCCTCTTAGCTACTGGAGGTACATGACCCTCATCCCCTGGCATGCTCCAGGAGAGAAGCAGCTTGTTCAAGCAGCTCCTTTCCCATTCCCACCTCCTCAACRAGCTTCAGACACTCAGTTAATATGTTGTTGATCTTCATTTGGTAGCGTTGCTCTGGATTCTCTTGCTTCTCTTTTGCTTTGACCTTTCTGCAGGATGGCTTCACCTCCTGCTTCTGAAGCAGCATCATCGGTGGCCGCTTGTATTTCTTGCCTTTGGATGCCAACCACTCCTCCAGCTGTTTCCTGTCCAACAACAAAGAGATCACAGTTACCACCCCAGCAGACAGTAAATGGCAAGAGCTGGCTGATTTTCCTTGGAATCCCCYTTTAGCCAGCTTCCCCTGCTCAAAAAGAATCAGTATATCTATCTCAGAAACACATCCACATCTAGCTCTAGGCTGGGRAAGGAAAACACTGTCAAGTGTAAGCCTTGAGGCAAAAACAGGAGAGTGGCCACACACTGGCCTTCTGCTCACTGAATCAGTGGGAGAGGAACCCAGGGTGCCACCCAACATCATCCCCAACCCTTTCTTTTTCAGTGCATCAACCTCCAAACAAGCTTTTGCTGATAAAAGGCTTCGGAGTCCATTTTCAGCAGGATGGTGCTGGCTCACCCTGTCAAACCCTTTAAACTCTGCWGTTTGCTGGAGGCAGGACCCAGGCTGCCCGAGCTGCCACTTACTTACGATCTGCAGCTGAYGGGGTCCGAGGAACACGCCTAGCCTGCATGCTGAGCAGTGGTTTAAGYTGATCTCTCCTGCTCCTCAAATCACTCTCCAGTGACTGAACACGAGTTTTGGAGTTGTGTATGCTGCGAGACTGGTTTGGGTGGCCTGTCCCTTGGGATGCTGCTGTGTGTCCAGGAGGCACCACCTTCATGTTCTTTCTGTCCATCCCCTCCTTAACCATGGGCCTTGGCCGTGGCAAAGTGACACTTGGGTTCAGGCTGGATTTCAAGTTTGTGGTCCCCTGGGGCTTGTCCAAGGTGGGAGGCTTGGTGGGAAATCTTCTCACTGGGAGAGGTTGGCTGTGGTGCTTAAGACTTCTCTCTGGAGCAGTACCAGGTGGCTTTCCTACAGGTTGCCTCACTGTAGTAGTTTTTCTCTGGTTTATCCCTGGGTTTTTATGTAGCAAATTAGCAGAAGCAGGAGGGAACTGAGAGTGCTGCAGCAGGTGAGTTCTGACACTTGTTTTTTGAGATACGCTCTTTGAGTCTGGCAGCATTTTCCTGAATTTATCTGGAACTGCCTCTTCCTTAGCCTGGCGGTTACTAATTTTGTCTTTTGGACCCAAAACAGGCCTTGACATTATGGCTGAGCTTTGCCTGTGGGCCAAGACTTTCTTCTTCCCAAGACTGCTTCCATCAGATTGCAAAGTTCTGATCAGCTCTGGGCGAGTGGAGCCATGTGGGTCGAGGTTTTCCTTGTGGCAGACCAGCCTGTCCTGCAGCCCCTCGTTCAGGGAGCAAGGTGCTCCAGAAGGGGGGTGGTCACTTCCCACCTGAGGTATTGCTGCAGTGACAGTCTCCTGTGCAGACTTCTGGTTTCTTTCTGGATTTAAGTGACCAGAGCTTGAAGATGGGAGCCTGCCTGTGGACTGTGCAGGAGCAGGAAGCTTTGCTTTCTTCCCTGGCTGCACTGGATGCATCCCTGCTGTTCTCTGGGATGTATTTGAAGGCTTCTGCTGAGCAGTGTGGCCAGCGTGCTGTGTGGATTTGGCTCTGAGATTGCCATTCCCTTGAGCAYCCTCCATGACATTCCCAAGAGCATTCTTCTTGTTCCTGTCAGCCTGGAGAGATAAAGCAGCCCTCAGCTCCAAGGAAAACACAGCTTGGTCACACCCTGACAGTTGGCCCAGGGGACAGTCACGTGACAAAGCAGTTGTCAATAGAACAATAAAACAACACCCTCCAGGATATGGGCAAAGGATCAGTCTCCCAGACTGAAACTCCTAACTAAGCTAAACTCCTTTGAAAAAGAACGAGTTGGCTCATTGATAGCTATTTAGCAATCTGTAGTATGYCCCCCATTTGGAGCTGGGAACTCACAACACAGACTAGGGGATGTGATTTTCAAAGCAAGTTACAGATCCAAATCACAGCCAGGACGAAAAATTATTATGACTAAAGTACATTCTCTTGTGATCCTATAAGGAGCAGTCCTGAGTGAAATCCTTTGAGCTCTCTTGGACTGCTGTGGGCTTTGACCAGCATCTCCCTCTGAGCAGAACATCTCAGAGCCAGCAAACTCTCATGTTTGCTGTATTTGRAGAAAGAGCAAATGATGTCAACAGACCCTGGCTGATACTCCCTCTCCCTAAGGCTCAACYCTTTGCCTGCTAAGACACAAAGGCACTGACATGAATTTGAGGGGAATTTTTCACAGGTATATACCCTGTAGAAACTCTTTAGGTCTATGTGTGTATAAGTATGCTACAGCAAATGTACTATGAAAGTGGCTTTCCTCTAAGTACTTAAGATTTTTAAGTCAGGCCTGTAAGCAAGTTACTGTTGTGCTACAGTAAATTCTATATGAATCCTTGGTTAAATTGTTTAACTTCACCTATTTATTAAGCRCTGTTAAGTTTTAAGTGTTGTTAAAACCTTCAGGCCTAAACTATTGGTCAAGTCCAGTGCTCAGAATAGCAAGGCAGTCTGCTCTGAATCTTGTGACTCAATRGACCTTTCTTATACCTTTTTATCCTTAACCTTCTCCATCCTTTCCCTTCCCCTGCCTACTCCCCCAGGCTCCACACAAATAATTTCTGGGTTGGTTTTGGTTTTAGATTGATTGATTTTAGATTKTAGCTTRCTTTTTGTTCTATTTGCTTTAATCATCCAGTAAGTAGTAAAGTGAACCTTGACAATGAACTTTGTCATGCTTTCCCTTACATATTAAACCTGMTTTTGCTGGTACCTTTGCCAGTGATTCCTTAAACAACCATAAAATATCGTTCATGACAGGGGACTCCATCCTGSCCAGATTCACTCAAAGCATGAAAGACTCAAAAGCTTCCTACTTACATGTTTGAGTTTAGAAACTGATTCTAAGTGTGGATTCCGGTGATTAGTCCAGTCCTTTGAAAAGGGTCTGTAAAAGTCAAAGTTATCAGGTAATTTATCTGCCATCAGAAAAACAGAAAAGAGTTAAATATCTAACCCACTGCTGATTGTCTCAGACACAGGAGCTTAGGAGTAGCTTTCAGAAATCAAAAATCTGTCAAGGAATATTACCATTACACATACTATTAATTCTTTTTTTTTTTTTGTGTGGCAACAGAAAAGTAACACAAACCATAAAAACATCCAAAGGTGTCACAAAACTTTCACGGACAACAAAGCTAATCAAAATGATTCCTGCAGGTGGTGATCTGGCACGTAAGGGACGCTCCCAAACTGTCCCATGTGCTACAGACAGCTGAGGCCATGCTGCTGCCACACTGCAGGTCACAGTGCTGCCTGGTGCAGCAGGTAACTCTGATACTGCTTCTTTGCATCACATTTTCCTGCCAGGTGCGCTGAAAATGCTCCTTCCTCATTCTAAATTATCCCAAAGGCCACTGGAAGCTGTCACTAAAAACCAGTGGTGAGACTTTAATCACCCTTTCCTCAAGATCTGGCTCCGAATCTGAGTTCTTAGCAGCAAGGCTTGTTCTGCCAGAGCCAGGAGCTGTGATGAAAAGCTTCACAGAGACTCATAAAAGAAGAGACACCATCAGCMATTGGGAAATGTCAGCACTCAAACCACCCCTTTGCTCCTGCTGCAAGTAACTATAGACCGGTGCCAGGGCCCAGACAGCAAGGCCCTGGCAGGAGCTGGTTCTTTGCACACAGGTCAGAGAAGATAGACACTGGGCAGTGGGGAGAGTCAGCTATACCTCAGACCTTTACAGATCATCTCAAACAAGCCCAACATCCTCCTAACTTACTTTGCAYTTGGGCATTTCAGCCTTTCCTTGGCTGCTTGGCAGTCTTGCAGCTGTCTCCTCTGTTGCCCTGCAGAGAAATGTCAGGAAATGCAGTGCACACAGCACGGTSTGAGTACTCGGAGAATGAGTACTCATGACAACAGATTTCTGTTACACTCAARCACTACATTGCACATCTCTTGACCTCCCTGCTTGGGGAGCCTGGCAATGCTGTGCCTAGAAATTCCCATGCATACAATATTGCCCAGAGGCTCACTGCCATTTAAGCTCCTTGGCTCTCACAGCGTGATGCTGCTCAATGCCCCATTTGCGCAGGGCTCSGTTTCCAGCAGAAAAGGGGAGATGCTGCCCAAGATTCCATTTCAGCTGTGACCTGCACCCACTTGCAGCCAAGCCCTCTCCTAACACAAGAGGGGAAAGCCAGCAGCGCTTCAGCAGGAGGACAGAGGATACTTCCAACACCCCCAGTTTGGCTGCAGCACTGGGGCATCTCACAGAGTCGAGCATCACCCCATCCCCAGGGTCCCTGTCCCTACAACTTCCACTCTCACCGATCACCCACATCTCGCCCTGGGCTTTAGGAACACGTCAAAACCCTCCCTGCCTTCTGCTCCCCAAGGCTTCCACTGAGCCCCAAGAGCAGCACACCCACTGTCACACCTCCAAACTGCCTTCTTCCCAACCGTGTCCCTGCGTCCGTTTTGTCGGGCACACCCCGCGGGTTCCCACATCCACACCGACCCCCACTCCAGCCTCTCTCCCAAGAC